GATAGTCGCCAATTTTCTCACTACAAATCCAATGGAATTGCACCGTCAGATTTGGCCTGCAATCCGTAATAAAGTAGGCATGAACACTCACCCATTTTCAGGAAGTCTGTCTTTGTGCCAGCCCCAACTTGACAATGTATTGAAAGGTACCAATGACTGGGTTCCGGTGATGTCCACGTTGAATGCAAAGTCGCCGTTACCAACTTGAAGTGGTGTAGTTGCATTGTCAATGTTTGTCGGCACTTCAGTTCTGATGACTTTGAACGATTCAACAATCGCGCGCCTGAAGACAATTATTTAATACGGTTTCCTGGATTTCCGGTTCATTAAGGAAATCTCTCACCTGTCAATAGCCGTTGATGCTAATACTGGCAAGAAAAGAAGAGATATGCGCACATGCATCTTTGCGCGACTTCATCACACCTAAGAAAACACTTGCAGTGCCGCCGTTCCTTAACAGATGTTGGAAATAACTTTGATCTTGAAAGAAAGCTTTGGTAGTCACCGGATAAATGTTAGCGTAACATATCCGAGAAGCTTGATTGACTTTACATCCGCCTCCGTAATTCGGTGTAGCTACTGCCGAACGAGGGGTAGCACCCCCACAGCTACTCATCATCCGACTGGGGACCCGTAAGTTCAACACGAGCACCGCGAATGGGATTCACTGTGACAAACTCATAGTAGTGTGGTTCAAGCGAACAATTCACTCGTCGATCATGCATTCCGGAAGGTCCGGAATATGCATGGGCACGCATCCGGGTTTAGGGCATACGCTCACAAACAGAGAAACATAGTACAGGCTGAGAAAACAGCGGAAAATTAACTGAGGAATGGCCCCCAGTCATAGATTTCAAGTGACGAATAGATGATGTGTATTTCCCCAGAGTCCTAGCCCCAGTGGACGGTGGAAGACCGACTTGTGTCTTCAGGCCTGGAGATTGGCGTTCCTGTATATGAACTGTGCAATACGCGCGTTGAACTCGTGTTCTCTCTCCCAAAGCGGTATATGGCCGCATTCATCCCACACAAAATACTCCGGCCCGTCTCCAAAGCCTGTCTTGAACAGATCAAAGTGAGGAAATGTGATAGTCTCGTCCGCCGTGCCGTGCATGACCATGATCCGTGATCGGCCTACCAAATCGCCCATTTTAGCTAAATCTTCTGAGCTTTTGAAATGCCATCCGGCGGCTACCGCTTGCAGGAGAACCCCTTTTCTGCGCGATACGTCTGTTTCGTCTTCCCGCTCCGCAAGCTCTTCTGCGACGAAGCGATCGTGATTATTTGGAAAACTGATATTCGCATCGAGAGACCCGGTGTCCGCGGATCTAAGAAACTTGTCGCTGAAGATTCTGCGTGCTTTATTGTCCAGCTCTGTATCCAATCCAGATGGGAGAAACATGAAGACGCGCTGCATAGTGTGGTCCAGAAGAGGTATGGTTCGAACCAGTCTCGGCGCTGATGAGATCAAGATGAGTGACTGGACTCGCTGCGGTATTAAAAGGGCTAGCTCCTGCGCAATCATGCCGCCGAGACTGATGCCAGCAATATTGATGTCCTGGGGGTAGCTTGGTGAATCCGAGTCGAGCCAACCAATTTGCTTCATCAGCTCCAGCACATCTCTTGCCATCTCTGCAGTACTATATCTGCAGTTAGGCTTCCCTGAATATCCGACTCCGCGATTGTCGAATACCAAGCAGCTGTACCGGTCACCGTGATCATGACCAAAGAAACGCGTCTGCCGTTTCCACATATTCCTCGTCGCCCCAAGACCCATAATCCACACGATTTTCAGGGGCCCATTGCCATGAACCTCATACCAGAGTGGAAATGGACCGCCAGCCCGATGGTCTGCCACGCTGACAAGCCCCGATTCGGCAGGTTTGAGGTTCCACTTTGTCGTTCCAAACGCAGGGTGCTGCAACACATCTGCCGCTGACAGATTGACAGGGCGTTCGGTCATCTCGGAACGATCTCCCTGAGCCGCCTGACGATTAGCGGAAAAGGGGAGAAGGCTCGTAATTTGCTGAAGGCAGCTTGTCGCCATGAAGTATGAGTATGTACTGGTCTTACAGTACTGTGATTGGGAAATGTTTTGGAAGAATCAGACAGATCCTTTCTTTCAGCGAGATCACAACATTTGGGTAATGCTGCTAAGATATCAATGCCGCACGGGGCGCGTTTCATGTTTCAAGCCGGCCGAGGCAGGGAACCTTTCTTCCTTCTCTAAAGCTTACTTTCTTTCCATTATGCGCCTATCAATAAACAAAAGTCAATCCATCGCTCTGTGGGTCAACACATGTAGTCTCGTCGAATAACCCGGTGCACTTCTCGAGTTGTATTCTCGGATGTCCTGGATGTGGCGAACGACATCCAAATGTCCACTCCGAAGCCATGTTCAGCAATGCATTCTCACAGAACCACTAGCGAGGGACTTTCGCAGTGAAAGCTTGGCAGGTGACTGGGTTCACGATCCTTTCGTCTGGCTTCAGGTGTTCTTATTCGCTGATTAGTGACTGGCCAGTAATGTCACACTGAGCTGACAATAATCACGTGTGGAGGCCTTCGATCAACTTCCCCGCTTCGCAATTATCCGCAAAACTCCATTTCAACCTGGGTGGTCCTTTGAAGGAGACATGTATCCCAGAAAGCGGGAGGCAATCGATTATGAACCAAGAAGACGCCATGGACAGCATCTGCACCAGTTGTCACTGTCGCAAAACCTTTCCATGGGCCAACTGCAAGTTGCCTTTCCCCCAAGGCTACGGGGTTGAGCCGCTCGAGAAATGGTTTGCCAGTGCTTTGGCCGGCGGCTGCTCTTTGTGTCAGCTTGGAACAGCAGTCGCGAAGGAAGCGATAAGCAAGTTCGGCTATGATGATGCATTCGCACTGTCGTCCATGTTCGACAACGAAATCGATAGTGTTATCCGGTTGACACTGACGCTGAACTGTGGTAGTGATGAGAATATGACGAACCAAGTCCGGATGGTTATTCTCGCACGAGACGGGAGTCTCATAGGTCAGTCTCTATCTGTAAATTACTTTTGTTTCTTCCCAGTCAGAAGCTTTTCTTGGCCGCACTTCTGTGCAATAACTGACGTGGTTGACCAAAAGCTAAGATGACATCAAGACAGCAATGGTTACCACCTAGAACCCTACAACCCCATTTTGAACACCAACGCAACGAAATACTGCATTGAACAAGCGCAGGAGTGGATGAAAAGCTGCTCTTCATCGCACTCTACGTGTCACATAAGACCGAAACCTCTACCAACGAGAATCGTTGATGTGAGCGTTGACCCGCCCCGTCTACAAATTACCAACAACGAGCTTGGCAATTTTGTTGCTTTGAGCCATTGCTGGGGCTTTTCCGTCGATGGCGCCGGTCCTCCAATGACGAGGCGTAACAGCATTGGAACACATGTCCGGGCCATCGATCAAGTCACTCTTCCACGCAACTTCAAAGACGCCATTGCCGTGACTTTGGCATTGGGCTTCACGTATATCTGGATCGACTCTCTTTGCATCGTGCAGGATGATGGAGAGGATTGGGCAAAAGAGGCTGCCAGCATGAAGAGTGTTTACGAAAATGCCGCTCTCGTTCTAGCAACCAGTTCGTCCGACAACGTCTCAAGAGGGATATTGCGGGAAAGGTCACCGTACAAAGAGGGTACGCTGTCGTTTGATATGTGTGGTGTTCCTGGTTCAGGGGCAATCACATACAGGGTGATCCCTAACCATGCTGGATGGGAACCTGTGGTGCAGGGTCCCATAGATGCCCGTGCTTGGTGCTTCCAAGAAAGATTGATGGCTAGAAGATATCTCTCTTTTGGCTCACATGAGATGCTATGGGAGTGTCTCGATGGCTCTCGTTGCGAATGCGGTTACAAATCGATTTACTACAACGTGGCCTCTGGACGCATCCAACATAACACTCAATCATACAATATCGAAACTCTCATCAAGGAAGGCCGGGAGGAGATGGCGTTCGACAGCTTCTCACTATATGCTGTATGGGCACGTATCATCAGGATTTACTCACGTCGGCAACTTACGCATCAATCTGATAAGTTAGTCGCGATAACGGCCGTCGCAGATCGCTTCCGAGAGGAGCTCGAAGATCAATATCTTTGGGGCTTGTGGAGACGAGATTTTCTGTCTTCACTCTGCTGGTTTGCTCTCCAGCCAGGCGATATCAGTGCACCCAATATGCCTTCGTGGACTTGGGCTTCTATATCTGCGCGGATATCCATGTACTTTGAAGCTCACGACAAGGACACAGTGGCAATGGCAGAAGTTCTGAAATATCCCGAACCTTTGGAGAGTCAAGAGCCTAATGATGTGGCAACGCCGACCATAGTTCTTCGTGGACCCATGGTCGAGGCTATTGTGTCCATTGAAGATTCTGGGCTCGCTACGCTGGATGTCCTGAGTGCAGGACATGCGGAACCTTTGCCAGCAGAGTTGACGACTTCGGATCTGTGGCTCGATGTTCCACTCGAGACTGGAACAGTTTCTTTTGATCACGAGACAACGACTAGCCAGAGAGCTCTCGATGGTGTCCAGAGACCAGGAACGTTCCCAGTTTATCTCATGTCTATTTTTCACCGGCAAGGGAAACTCTCCCCATTCCTCATTCTCGGTCGCTCCCAAGCCAGCGCGAACCATTTTCGCCGTCTGGGGTTTGGACGGGTCCGCGATCCTGAGGGATCTGAGACCGGATTCTCTAGCAAATGGACGATTTCCCAGGCCGTAATTATGTAAATTGTCGATAGGAAATCGGGGAGGGCCTTGGGTTGTTGTTCACCTTCTGAACAATCAAACATTCCAGTCGTGGTCTCATTCTCACTTTTAGCGCATCCCAGGCACAGCATACGTTCAGGAACATGTCGCGTATTAATGCAAGAAGACTACTATGAATCCCCTTCTTAACTAATACACAAGCCGAACACCCATGTCCCTAGAACCACAGACTTGAACTTGTCATAGGCTACTCAAGTCTAGTTTACCACTGCTAACAGGAATCCATCAATGATAATCCTTCCCCTGTGCTCGGTGTGAGCCGTCGATACCATCGGCACGAGCGTTGCCCTGACGCGAGCATCCTTCCCCACCTGAGTAAGCAGTGATTGCTTGCCGTCCTCTGTCGCGCCGCTGTCCAAAGCATTCCAGACCACATTATCGACATAGATGCACCCTTTGGGTCTGGTTAACTTGACTGCCCAGTCAAAATACTTCTCCTGTTCACCCCAAGAAGCATCGACAAATACCATGTCAAACTTGCGCCCCTCCTCTGCAAGCTTTGGCAAGACATCCAATGCAGCGCCGAGTATGATCTCGGCGTCGAGACCATCCAGATTCTGGAGGGCGACGTCTCGGTGCTTCGGGTTGATCTCAATACTTGTGACCTTTGCACCAGTCTCTGCCAGCCAGATGGTTGAATAGCCTCCCAGTGTGCCAATCTCAAGGACGGTTTTTGCGCCTAGAAGCTGGCACTGTATAGCAAGGAATTGCCCCTGCAGAGGGGCAACCTCGATGGATGGAAGTCCGTTCTGCTCAGAATTGATGATTGCTTGGTCAAGTCGATGGTTAGGCTGCAGAAGTGTGCCTCGGGCTAGCGTCTCGATGGCCTTGATGGCTGTTACGGTGTCTCTCTCTGCAGTCGTCATAGTAAGCGTGCGGGCGAGGTATCCCTTAGTAGATTGGCTGTCTTGGTTGAGGATGTGGAATTCGTTTGGAAATTTTCCACCCCCTCAGAACTTAAATAGACGGCTAGTTGAAGTGTGCAAAGTCGGATTACGAGTTCTCTGCTGTGCCACCGGATGCCTGGCTCGGGCATACGAGCAAGGAGATAAGACGCGATACCTCTCTAGATGTTCGGAACTTCGGAAATAGAAACTGTTGTGAAGAAACAAGTGATTACTATCATTGGTGGTTCAGGCTGGTTGATCTTACCTGCCGCGTGTCTGACGCCCGGCGCGGAGCAAATGTAGTGTCCATCGCCGAAACCTGGTCTTAGCAGTTTAATGACCCTTTGGCTGGAGTGAGTAAGCGGAAAGCATAGTGTGAATGCCATTTCTATGGAGGTATTTTTGAGTTTTAACAGCATTGACCTCGATAACACAATAGGCATCATGGATGCCTCAAGCTCTCTAGGGTGAGCGTTGCCAAGTGTATCGGCGATGGTGGGGCCGAGTCCGATTGCGACCGCGAGCTTGACAGCCGAGTTTGCTGCCGTGTGCGACAGGAGTGGGGGCGACTTCCGAGTGGCGGACTCTTGAGAGTGGAAAGAAGGATAACACCCATGAGTTTCGACAATACTTTGACGAGAAAGGCAAGCGGATGAACGGGGCGGTATGGGTAGGCCTGAGCTAACAGCCGAAGACCTCTCTGTACAGAGTAAAATGGCTCTGGCGCCTGTTGGCCCCGCAATATCGACTGTTTGTGGGATTCCTTGGGTACTAGGTACTTTCATGTGAAAGTCAACACGGCCGTACTTACCCAGACTGTTTTCCATTTAGATTGCATCTCTGACAGTGTGCTGAGGGGGGCAGCTTTCGTTGATATATGTATGTTGGGTTTGGAGACAGGCCATTCGACGACGGAATCGTCGTGATCTCGAGATCGATGGCGTTTCCCCTCCTCCCCCTGGCCTGAGAGATTTGGGTTGTGCCGGTCGCCGACTTTCGGGCGACGACCGAATTTCCTTTTGCGGTACCCGCGCACTAACAGCCAAAAAGCGACGGTTTGTATGCATGACATCCTCGGAAGACATCCACAGTACCATTGCAGGCCAATCGGAACATCCGAAAAGAAGTGCCGTTTGTACCGTGCGTGAACATTCAAGCGTGTTGGCGCGAGTCGTGTCTGCTGTCTGAGCGCTTGCCGAACCCGCTCTGCCGCGCTGCGGGCTCATCCGGCGGAGCATTCCACACTTGTAGACGCAATGGACGCAGGACAACTCGCCAGGGGCTCAACGGCAAGTCGCCGCAAAGGATCGACTTCGAGAACAACACCAGTTGCTAGCCAGCGTTACGGGTCAAAAGGCATCAGCGAATTCTATCCGCTGGCCTGCGCGTATTGAGATGTCTCAATGTGACATATAAGCCGTCAGGGCGGGGTGGTGTCGCATTTAACTTGCGCCAAAGTTGCTACAAACCTTTCTGACTGTGATTTGCAATGCGCAAGATACTACAGGAAACGTCACTGGCTGTTTTTCTGTGATTAGAATCCAAGTTTGAGGATGGCACGGCCTAGCACCATTACCAGACACAAAAAAAACGTGGCGCAGATCATTGGAGATGGTTGGCAACGTAGAATTAGTATTCAATGCTGACCTGTCAGCTGGAATGGTATTTTGAGTTCCCTGAAGATTGTACACATTATTCGAAAAGAAAGCCCATTTTAATCGTCAGTACCCTCGTTACCGCCAAGCTCGTGATATCCTAAACCATGCTGTTTCCACCGCGCTTCTTCTCAACTTCCATACCAAACTCCCGTTGGACCCGAATTGCACCAAGTCCTCCTTTGTTGACGATTTGCTTCTGACTGTGGTCGTCGGGCAAGCTCTCACTACTGTTGCCATCCATGTCCCTTCCGTATACCCTCGTCTCGACGCCGGAGCGGCTTGCGTTCGCAGTCCCTTTCTTAGTCGGATCCCTTTCGCCGAGTTCCAAATAGCTGTTCTTGACCGCGCCAGATGCAGCGGGATCCTTGGAGGATTTATTCTTCGAGCCAGTAAAGGATGTCAGGCGAGACAAGGCGCGTTCGAGAAGTGGACGACAAGCAGGAAGGTTCGCGACAAGCATGCCGATGCCGACTTCGGCCTGTGCCCAGGCGAGGATGATACTGAGACCCTGGAGGAACTTCGTCGAGTCGTTCAAAAGGAGAAGGTATTTGAGTCGGACGATGGGTGCGATGGAAGCACTAACTGCTGTCAGCGAATAACTTGGGGATCCGGGGGTAAAGCATAGGGGACGCACAAGAAGCCAAGACCGAGCAGGCCAATGACGGAAGCCTTGATTCGGTTCGCCATCTGGAGTCTCCAAATGAGGGCGAATGGGAGAATGGCGAAGATCCAGTCGGTTGAAATCGAGACAGCTGCAACAAGGAACGAGAGGGCGGTTTGTATTTCGCGAGGTTGGCATGTTCCTTGCATAAGCGGGAACCAATTTTTCCTGCAATGGTCAGTAACGCATACAACAGGCTTCATGGGCTTTGGAACTTACTCAACCGGGCTACACTGGAAGAAAAGATACATCCCAGTGCCACCAGTGCAGACTGTAACAAGTGCTAAACACGTGTAGATGACAATTTGAACCCAGCGCTGCCCGTTCGCGATACGGAGAAGAGTGAAACCGATAGACCATTTCAAGCTAACGAGGGTAAAACACCAGAACTCTTGAAACACATAAAACCACTGCGCAACACATCAGCAACCTAGCAATAAAATGGAAGCCATCTTCATGACTTACGAAGTAAGAGTTGGCCTGCTGTTCTGGTGTCAGGGTTGAGTCGAGCTGACCAACGCCACTCCAGGCCATGCCGATCAAGCCGACTTGAGATACCGTCCAAACCGGCTTCAAACTGTCAGTCAAAACCTTGCTGGAATCCGCTTGATGGAACATACAATGGTAGCTACCATGGCCCAATCGTCGGGTCCCCACGCCTTTCTCTGTGTCCGGATCATAAATCGCAGCGCCATACTGATGATGTCGAACGGCAGCGGCACCAGGACCGCTGCGGCCATGTCCTTCGAGGTTGCGGCGCCCATGGTGTCTGGATTGACGGATTTGCGATCACTGAAGAACCGGCTTCGCGCTCCACGCGTTGGTTTGTCGAAGGGGATGAAAGAGCCACAAAATAGCGAACAGACGAGCAACGACCTACCGACCCAGAAAACTTATAAGAGAACGGGATACCAAACAATAGCCAGCATTTGCCAATTACTTAATAGCGTCTCGGTTCCTTTTTTAAGAGACGAACCTGCACAAAGTATCCACAAACCCCAGCCCCGGGACCTCTGCCGCCTAGTGTGGCACTGTTGCAAGGAAGGCCTCGAAGTCTGAAGGAAGCGAGCATGGAAGACTCTTCAAACCCCTTGCCCAGCTCAGACTCTCTAATTTCGACGGCATCCCATCGGGACTTTCTTTTATTAACCTGCCAACCAATCAAGACATTTGCACATCCCTCGACCATGGATGGCTGGTTTCTTTCGACAGGGAACGTCTGTCCTCCCCTTCCAGTCTCACGTGAGTTCGTACGCATGTGTCCGTCATTCTTGCATGTCGCATGGCACAAGGAACATAACGATACTGTCGGCTTTCACCACGATTATGCGTGTCGAATTTCGTGTGGTCTCCGTCAGAAGATTCGTGGCAGATGGTCTACTATTCGAACTTCCGTGCCGTTCGTCTGTGCGATCGCGATCTTAGCGGCAGCTTGGTTTGGGAGCCTAGCGGTTCCTGTCGATGCTACGCGAGATCGGTTGGTTGTGAACATACCAGCTCCTTTCATCCGTCTGGTGTCGCATTTATCCCACTGTTCCGAAACGTCTAGCCTCCATCTAAGGGAGATCGATACTGTATTTGGCAGATCCTCTTCCGAGGATCGGGGAGCTCTTTAGCGGATTCCGGCGGTGTCAACCTGCCTAGCGACTTGGCTTGACCCATGATGGTGGATCCAGCTCTTCAACACGGTTTGCTGGAGTGCCAGTCGGTTACTTGGCCGACCCACGCAGCCGGGCTGCCTTGCTCACAGTATGCAACTGCGGTTGTTGATACTCGTGGAGTCGCGTATTTCAGCTGTGTCCGTAAACCCATAATTACCCCTCTGTGAATGGAGATGGGGGCCACTTTGATGAGAGATTTGTAAACTTGCATTGACGCTTGGTCTCCTGGAAGTAGGAGGTGTTTGCCAACGACCAAGACGAGATATGACAAAGAAGAGATTTGCATCCTGCATAGTTTTCTTCCCCGTATGGAGTTGCTTCACGACCTTTGTGATTTTGCCCAGCGACGGGTGAAGTTCGCGAGGTTTCATCGGTAGTTTGTAGACATTGAGATCGGCAGGCGCCTTTGTCGGTTGACGTGGCTGCGTGGAGACTTTAGGTTGTTCTTCCTGCCATTATCCTTGTCTAGACTGCTCTCTGAAATCCACCACACCATGCGGCCCGTCGGCATTGATCTGTGCACCAAGTGGATAGAGACGCACTAGAGACAGGAGAGAGACAACTGTCACGGAGGAGAATATAAAATGCGTTCTCTATCACGTGGGGGAGGAGATAATATCCTCCGCATCTCCCCGCCGTCACCCAAGGTTAATCATCTTTCATCTTGAAACTGAATCGCAAAAATGGCTCCTCCTTTCAGGGTTTTCGAGGGCAAGCTTGCCATTGTCACTGGTGCTTCTCGCAGTAAGTGAAATTAAGGTTCTGACGTTGGCCATGGGTCGCCGTGGCTCAACACGTTTTTATGGCATCACAACCAGCTAACGCATCTTGAAGGCTTCGGCGCCGTTCTTGCCGAGCACTTTGCTAGCAGAGGTGCTAATGTTGTCCTCAACTATGCCACTGAGGGTTCCACGCCCAAGGCCCAGGCACTGGCCAAGAACTTCGAGACCAAATACAACGTGAAGGCACTTCCTGTTCAGGCCGACCTCAGCAAGGCCGACGCTCCTCAGCAGCTTGTTGATGCAGCAAAGGCGCACTTCACTGATGCGTCTGGTCGCTTCCAAATCGACATCATCGTCAACAACGCTGCCACTGTCAACGCCCAGGGTATCGACCAGCTGGACATCGACCTCTTCCAGCAGACTTTCGACTTGAACTGCAGAGCCCCCGCGCTGCTGATCAAGGCTGCATTCCCCTACCTCCCCACTGACCGCTCTGGTCGTATCGTCAACATTTCCAGCGCCACTACTACCTGGGGTGTCTGGTGGCAGACGTCCTACGCTGGCACCAAGGGTGCTATTGAGGCCATGACCCGTGTGTGGGCTCGGGAGCTTGCGGAGAGAGCTACCGTAAACGCTGTCGCCCCTGGTCCCATGGACACGGGTTTGTATTCTGGTCTGCCCGACGAGCCTCGCGAGGCTCTCCGCCCGTTGAACAACTTGACCCCTCTTGCGAAGGCTCGCCCTGGCGTCGACAGCCAGGAAGTCCTCGACTTGGCCCAGAGCATCGGCGGTCGCCCTGGTTATCTCGAGGAAGTTGCCGGCGTTGTTGGCGTCTGCTGCCTGCCTGAGAGCGGATGGATGACAGGTAACCTGGTTGGTGCTAGTGGAGGTGGTGCTTTCGTTCGATAAATGCGATGTATGAGATATGATATGGCATAGCGATATTTGCAGCGAGGATGCCAATTTTGAGCCCAGGTGTGACGATGCACTGGTTAGGGGGGCTAAGCATGAATTTCAGCATAGACTGGCACGAAGATAATTCGTCGCAATGACATTACAACATGGCCCGTCCACTCTCCTTCACTCCGAATACATCTGATCCGTCATCTTCCTCAAATGTTGACCATATGGTGTTTTTGGAGAACCATGAATATTGTCAAAACCAGAAGCAGCGTGAAAGGGCGCAGGTCCGGAGAAAATGTCGGTGAAGCAATCATGGCATTCGTCTGCAACCACCTATTGGAACCGGGGTCTGGGGAGAATCACCGTTACAGTGGAGTGCCAGCCCCTTGTCGAGTTGCCTCGCATGTCCGTTTGCACCAGAGCCATGTTCATAGTGCCGGGAGAGCTGTTAAACTTTGCAAGGGTTTACAGCCCCCGCAGCCCCCGTGTAGCATTAGGTAGTTTTAGGGCCGTCGGCTAACGCCCAACGGGGAAAGATTCTCTTGAAGACCATGAAGGAGGGATTTTCGTCCATCAGCCCCCACGATTGTCTTAATGAAGCCAAGTGATGCTACGAATAGGCGAGCGAATGTCAGCTCACATCGGTTATGTGCCCGCATCAGAATGCAATTCGGATTTGTGTATTCGTACTTAGCCCCTGTTTGGTATGTTTCGATCAGTCTCCGACGACGTCTTAGGCACCAATTGCCAGAGTTCTCTTCCTGCGGCGGCAAGCGAGGTGAAGGATTTGGATCACCGCCCACGCCAAGCTCCAGCTCCCCAGTAACGTCTGTGCAGCCTTGGGATCACCTGATCTTAGCCATGTCGTCGGCTGCGGGACACCTCGCAGCTGGCCTCCCGAGGAATGAAAGCTTGATACAATAGCTAGGGCAGCAATGCTACGCCGTAGATTGGGCTCCGTGAATGGGAAAGACTCCTATGATTAAATCCCTTGCCATGCTATTCACGAGTTAGCATCCAATTGCATGAACCGAATTGATGCCCTGGCTAGTGGCTATGGATGATGTTGCCCTTCGCCAGTGTAACTTTGTTGCCCAAATATCTTCGTTAGAGGGTGCAAAAACGCCTTTCCCAGTCTTAACGTCTTTACCACTCCCGCTACCCATAACAACGGGACGGACATTTGAATTCCAAGAGCAAAGGCGTGGAAGTCTCCAACGTCAAAAGCACATCCCGACGTAATTGAACGGATGTGTCACTTGAAAAGAAAGGTTAACCAGCAGATAACTCGCACTTTGCACCTGCGCTCAGCACTACTAGAAGGACAAAATCTTATTATAATAAAACTCGAACAGAAGTGAATGTTTGCCATCAACTAAGGTGCTGATAATTTAAATGCCTAAGCCCAGTGAAACATTCCATGTTCAACTTTACACCTACAAACGACGACAGCTTCATCAATTTACGCGTCCGCCTCTTCGTTATCAAACCCAGAGACCAGCAAAGACTTACCTATGCAGTTCACGTCAACCGGAAGATATTTCCCAGCCGGTAACCTGAGGGCTGAGGGTCCAGTTTAGTGAGAAATTAGCACGTGTAAACCATTCTATTAGCATGAAAGGAGGCAGGACTGGATCGCATAACATATTCAGTAAGTGATACTCTTGAAGTGTTTTCAGCTTTTGATGTCTAGTATAAGGCTTGTCTTTTGACATTCTATGGTGTTATCAAACGACAGCGAGGCCCATGTCGACACGTGATAAAATGTTAGGATGATTAAATTTTCCAGCTATGTATATGGAAATTATTTTTGCAAAAGTATTTGCGTGATGGCAGGAAAAGGATAGTCTTCTTTGTAGACTGCTTCTTCCCTTCTAAGTTTTCTTTCGCAGTTTGCCGCCTGGAGGCGCTCCTTTTTGACTGCTGTGTGACTCTGACGGGGATATATGAAGACTCCAGGTGTGCACACGGTAGTAAGCATGCGCACCTTGGGTATTCCAGTATAGTTCTTGTGTCTTACCTACAATGAGACGTACAAACCCACGGGAAGATTGACAGCCTAACTTGCATTTGGCCGTAGACATGAAAGTATGCGTAGAGGAGTGGGAATGTCAACGCTAGTGGTTAGTCATGCTTCAGCAGTGGTTTGCATAGTTCGACGTGATTTCGTTATCCTATGATCATGTTGAGGAAGTTTCGAGCCCACCCAGTAGGGGTTTTCACAGTAGGGGAAGTTATCCTATGATCATACATATGAATATTCCGTAGCATTTAATAATTATAGCCCACGATAGATACTACTGCTGCTGTAGTTCCATGTTGATTTCACAAATAGTTCGAAAAGACTGAAAGCAATGAGTGTTTATACGCCCCCCCTGTGGAAAAATAGACCGTAACCAGATAATGCTATGTCGATCACACCCAACACACCAAAAGACTTGCTGATACCCTGAAATGGACAGTCTGGAGGGGAGCTAGGTCAGCCGCACCAATGGTCACGTTTAATAAATCATACCTCTCACTAAGCTTCTGTCAAAATTCCTGCCAGAATATCAGCTGAACGGAGCCAGGATGATCCGCCTCAGATTTTCCGGCGCCGGTTTTCCGACCAACCGATATTGTCTGTCTCGATAAAGGGTCTTCAACGTGGCCGATGCGTCTTTATCCATTTGCCCCGCCTGCAGTCTGGACGCTCGCATGAACGGACCCGTCCACAGTTTAGACTTAAAGCACGTGGCGTATGATAGTCTCCATGTCCTTTCATCCAGCGATGTCGAAAAAAGGATTCCTCAATCTCTATTTTCAATTTCCCCGTCTGTGTGTTTCGATCTTGCCGCTCAAAGTCGACGGGGCGCGGGCTACGGTCCAGTTCCCGAAGTCAACACAACACCAAGCCGAGCCGCTCCATGTGTGCGTAGCAAACATCGCGTCTTTCAGCACAGCAGTAAGGGACGATGCCATTGCTCGGGAATGCCCATGCTCGAAAAGTTCGATCAGATCTGTTCTGGAAGGCCTTCTCCGGAAGACCACCGAGCTTATGTGCTTATGCGCATCCGACTAACGTTCGCGGTTACATGATCGACTGGTAGAGCTTCTAGAAGCCTGAGTCTTCGGTGTTATGGAAGATACGTTCCCGAGAGCCAGACGCGGTCAGTTGGGCGTTCGCGCGCGAGGCCCACCACACCACCCACAGCCGAATTTCCGACTGTCATGCAAGGACCCTCTGCTGCTCGCTGGCCCACAAGTGCATGCAAGAACTTTTGACGAGGCCCATAGTAGAACTCGTCCTCGATTGCTGTGGCAGTGGACTGATGAACCACACCGGGCGAGAGAGAGCATACGATTCTCACAGTCTCACTCAGCAGACTCGCAGACAGAGACTAGGCGACGCCGAAGGTAGCATTTTAATGACCTGTGCAGCATGCTGCAGCGTCCGACAATGTCCCTTTGACAGTCCATGACGTCGTGTTCTCGAATCATGTCCTCGACAATTCGGATAACGAAGATGCTAAGCATGCGGCTTACCACCCGTAGCTTGGCGATGGACTTTCAAGCATTGCCAATCTTCGCCAAGACGGGAAGGTCGCAGCCCTTGGAATTGACGATACATAATCTCGGGGTGCGACTGCTACGTAGTAATTGGACAGCCTCAACCGCTCCTGCACCAAGCCTACCGCCGCCCGTTGGTCTGCATCTCGTGGCGTTTGCGGAGTAACGTGGTGAAAAGTCCCCCAAACCCCGGATTCAGTATCTTGGCCCTTTCGACCTCGGCACCAGATGCATTGACTAATGTTGAAAAATGAGCGTAGTCCAATCAGAGAGTGCAATTCAAGGCCGCCTTATTCCCCTTAACCTCGCTTGGCGCCACCCGTTTCGGCCCTTTTGCCAAGCAGTCCACTAAATTCCTCGTAAACCACCCGATGTGTCCGTTATTACCACACAAAAGGATCGGCTCACTCGGCCGAGTGGAGTCCGGCACCTGTGTCGGTGTCCGGTTTGTGGCGCGTCTTCGCAAAAGTTCCTGGGGCGAGCATCCAAGTCGGGCAAAACTTTTCGCAGGTGGAACAAGATATCGCCTCGAAGACGTCGGAGTCGCCCGAGGGTAAGGGCATTATTAGTGATTAGTGTAGATACTAATGAGTCTCCATCCTCCCCACTGGCCAAAAGCTGCTCTTGGATCTCTTCTGGAAATTTTCTTCTTGTCTTCTTCCTCACACCGAGTCACCTCTGGTATACCTCATGCTTCGGGTCTAACCTTTCGAATTGCGTAAAAATGGCCCAGAACCACGAGGATACCGTGGCCGAGTACGTAACATTGCGCATATCGTCGGCTCTCTGACGCAGTACTGACTGTTTCTGTGCAGGCTCCACGAGACGTTCGGCGAGCGTGTGGCGCACGACATCGAGAAGAAGGAGCCCTTGTCTGAGAAGGATGCCGAGTCTGGCCCAACTCCTGACGGAGCCGAGCCCAACGAGTACGAGAGGGGCACTTTGCGCCGTGTCGGAGAAAGTCTCCCCGCCTCAGCATTCCTGATTGCCGTTGTTGAGCTCACGGAGCGCTTCACCTACTATGGTGCCCAGGGTCTTTTCCAGAACTACATCAGCAATGACGCCAATGGAGTCGATGGCCCGAAGGGTCTCGGAATGGGTCACCAGGCTGCGACAGGACTGAACCTGTTCTTCCAGTGGTTTTGTTACGGTATGTGGAATACTGATACGAATTCATGAGCAAAGAAGAAGTATTAACAAAGATGTCTAGTCACTCCTATTCTCGGAGCCATCATTGCTGACCAGTACTTGGGTAAGTACAAGACCATTCTGGTCTTTTGCGCCTTTTACTGGGTTGGTCTTGTCATTCTCTGGACGACATCGCTCCCAGTCGCCATGGCTAATGGCGCTGGCAAACCCGGTTACATCGTTGCAATTATTGTCATCGGTCTGGGCACCGGCGGTATCAAGTCGAACATCGCGCCCTTGATTGCCGATCAGTACCAACGTCGTGTCATGGCTGTCAAGACGGAGAAGACCGGCGAGCGAGTCATTATCGATCCAGCCGTCACGTACCAGCGCATTTACATGATCTTCTACTGGTGTATCAACCTCGGATCGCTTTCTTTGATGGCAACGCCCTTCATGGAGAAATACAAGGGATTTTGGACAGCATACCTGATGTGCTTTTGTGTCTTCAACGTCGGCATCGCTACTCTGGTGCTGCGTCGCAAGACTTACGTCAACCGCCCGCCTCAAGGATCTGTCATCACTGATGCCTTCAAGGCTCTTGGCTTGATGATTGCCTCGCGCAACATGGATGCCGCGAAACCATCATGGCGTGCAGCTAATGGCAAGGGCAAGCCCGTCCCATGGAATGATCATTTCATCGACGAGCTCAAGAGAGCACTCAGAGCTTGCAAGGTCTTTGTCTTCTACCCCATCTTCTGGGTCTGCTACGGCCAGTTCTCGACCAACTTCGTCACTCAAGCCGGGCAGATGGAGGGCCATGGGATGCCGAACGACTTCATGCAAAACTTCGACCCCATCTCCATTTTGGTCTTCACCCCAATTCTCGACAAGGTCGTCTATCCGCTCCTGCGCAAGGCTGGCATTGAGCTGAAGCCCATTATGCGTATCACGATTGGCTTTTGGCTCGGTGCTCTCTGCCTCGCATATGCAGCCATTGTCCAACATCTTATTTACAAGGCCGGCCCGTGCTACGAAGCTCCGGGTGCCTGTCCCGAAGGATTGAGCAATGGCGCTTCTCTGCCTAACCATGTTCATATCGCCGTCCAGACCCCGGCGTATGTGTTCATTGGGTTGTCTGAAATCTTCATTTCTGTTACCGGTCTCGAGTATGCCTACACCAAAGCGCCGCCCAACATGAAGTCTTTCGTTCAGAGCATCTATCTCTTCACCAATGCTTTCGGCTCCGCCATCTCCGAGGCCCTGGTGTCCGTCGCGGTTGACCCCAAGTTTTTGTGGATGTACACGGGAGTTGCTTGCTTCTCTTTCGTCATTGGATTTGTATTCTACTTCACTTTCCGCCACTACGACGCCGAGGAGGACAAAATGTATGATCTGGACCGCGATCAGCCAATTCTGACACACAACGGTGTCAAGCAGACCGAGACAGACGAGTAGATGACGCGGGCCTCGGCTTCATATGAGTTTTCAAGGACACTTGTGGGTTCAGGTTGTATATAATGTTGATCACGACATGGTTCAGATGTATGATAGTTACGACGCCCTTGAGAAGGCTATATAAATAGAATACCCCCTTAATCAGTGAAACGCAAATCTCGTAGAGGGCAGTTTCGAAAGCTTTTTTCGTTTCTGAACTGCAAACAATCACGGTCACGCCTGTCATGAATGACATGAGTGGTATTCTCAGCTTCTCGCTCCCATCCATATTCACTACCAATAGCAAAATCACGCCTAGCGGTACATGCATGCCAAGCAGACTTACTCAAGGCCGAGGTCAGCTTGATGGACTTTGAATATAATCATGCACACTGCTCAAGTCTGACTTCGTCTGGTCCGATATGTTAATTTGATTTTTTACTAGACCGACCCTTTTCTCTGATAGAATTCGCGCAGTCTCATTCTTCCGTTGCCAAGACGATCTGACCCTCCACGACGGTATATTGACCCTCGATGATGCAAGCAGATATGTTCCGCAGCGAGTCTGAATAAACCTATCAAAATCATGCATGCAAAATTTCTTTATCTATTCCGATGTGACTTAACGCTTAAACTGATACCACTGCTTCCTTAGCTGTGTAAGGCCTTAAGCACTCATCCCAGAAAGTGTACGTCTCAGGTTGCGTAGCCTAGGTAATATTCGCAGGCGATTCTAGTAAAATCGGCCATACAAATGGCGGAAGGTGGTCCGGGCGTTGGAGCAGAATCGGTTGGACTCGGGACGGAGCTGTAATTGGGTGGTGTTTAACCCCAAGTGGAGACTCTAGCTTAGGGTTACATTGGGCCAATCTGTAGAAAAGGGGTAATTCAGTAGTAAAAGATAAGAAGAAAGATAATCTATAGCTTATTTACTGTCATAAGATTGTGAGTAGTATCAACTAACTATGAATAGCTTTATTGAGATTAATGAGGAGCATCAAATGCTCATTTGTTGCAAATGCAAGGCAGCTGTTCGGCCCAGCAGCAGCATTGAGTCACACTTCCGCCACGAGCATCAGTTGAAAGGAGAGGTTCTCAGAGATATTAAGGACTGCTATAGCAGGATGGACTTGGCCGATCCAAAGGTTGATGCTCTTCCTATAGATGGCAGCTTAGCCATTGAACAGCTGGATGTTTTACAGGGTTATAGTTGCTCTATATGCCGATATCTCACAACAGCAAGAGACAACATCACACGCCATTGGAGGGAGGCTCAGCATGCAGCCGGACCGCTCAAATCAACAAAGGTGCAATTGCAGACGTGGATGCGCGGGAAATATGCTCGTTACTGGATCGTCCGCAGCAACGAGGCCGAGGCGTGGCCAGACTCAGCAAACAACTCAGAGAAGGATGCCATGGAGCTGATGGTGGCCCAGTGTACGGCTGAGCTGGATGCCGAGGATGCCGAGCGACTGCGAAGAGGGGATCTGAAAGAAGATATGGACCGGGACTCGTCGTGGGTGAAGAGGGTGCGCTGGGTCAATCACTTTGGGTCTCGAGATCTACTTGATATATTCAAAGCAGCCGAGTGGATACGGGCGAAGAGCACCACAGCGGGACGAGGCCGGGAGCAAGACGAAGATGGCGCGCAAGAACGGCTGATATTGCTGCGTCTCGGGGAGAGCTTCGATCGCGAGGTGGAACGGTGCAGCTGGCGATTGGACAGCGTGCCGACTGAGACGCTCCAATGGCTTGCCAGCATCGTTAGCACCACTCCCAGCGGGATGCCGTTCGGTCTGAAGGGCAAGGAGGCATCAATGGCCAAATACCGGACCGTCGGACATCGATATTTGGGCTTCTGCTGGCGAGCGCACCACATCGGAAGGGATGAGGCGTTGGAGCGATGGGCCATCCGCTTTACAGACGAACAGTGGAGCTTGCTATGCGACGTAGCAGACGAGCTGGAGAGGAGCAGCATCGCGAGCAGCCACAACCACAGCTGTAACGACCAGGACAGCGAGGATGGGGCTGACGACGACGCAGGGGACGAGGGTATGTATTCCCGGAAGGACAACGACACGCTCGACCGGGCCGTCTTCTTGTTCATGGTGGCTTCGATCAAGACGCAGGTGGGCGGGCATATCTATTCAAACTCGCTGCTCTGCTTCTGTGCGGCGTTAGGGATCCGGTCCCGTCCGCTCGGGTATACCGAGCCGCACTTATACACGGGAATGCTGGCCGCTATTTTGTGGTGGTCCCGGCTCTTCTTCTTGGAGGCCGCGTTCGAGGACCAGCCCCAGGATCAGGATGAGGTTGGGATCAAAGCAGTGATCGCGTTCCGGGATCAACATGCCGTTTGGATGTGTGTAGGCGCGCATACGGTCGTCAGCACCATCATCGGATGGATGGCGCTGGGGAAAGGGTGGCGAATGCGGATGGGTGGGCAGCCATCGGTGCGTTGGGCCGAGGACGGCGAGTCGCTATTCCACAACGGCGAGCGCATCATGGTTCAGGAGTTCACGCGGGCGCTCCGGAACCAGGTCGTTGAAGCACAGAAGCTGCTGGATTCACTATTCGCGGGGGATTGGGAGAGGTATAAGACGCTGGTCAAGCTAGGGCGGATCGTCGACAGCATGGTGCGGCTCGGGGCCGGACAGTCGTTCGCGACGAACGCGAAGAACAGCTGGCTGGAGCCCGGACCGGCAGTCGTGATGAGGCAGTTAGGGACATCAATATGGGACCCGAGGAAGCAACGGCTCAGGCGAGAGGGGGTCCGGCAGTGGCTCCGACGGCTGAGGATGTTCCGGGAGGTGCTCATGGTGCTCGTCCACGCATGGGGCGGACTACCCGGACGAGGGCCCGAGGTGGCGACGTTGCGGCACTGCGACTCGTGGCAGCTCATCCGCAACATCTTCGTTCTCGACGGGCAGGTGATGATGGTGACGGACCGAGACAAGATGAAGGCGATCCGGGACAACTCGCGCAAGGTGGCCCGGTTCGTTCCGGAGGTGATTGGGCAGATGGTGATAGCTTATATCGCGTGGCTGATCCCGGCGGAACGGGCACTCCGGCGCAAGGGCGAACTGGCCGAACCGCGCGGGGAGCATTTGGAGTTCATGTGGCGAGACGGCAGCTCGGCGGTGTGGGATACAGAACGACTCAGCCGGAAGCTGGCGCGGGTGTTGCAGGCCACAACGGGCGTGAGGCTGGGCGTGGGACGATACCGGGTCGTAGCGATCGAGATGGGTCGCCGAATCCGGGGGCTCGTGTTACAACAGATGGAGAGCCGGTTAGACGACGATGACGGGGACGACGATGATGTTGAGGTCGATCCCATCACTGGAGAGCCGGTGCACTGTGGGGGAAGCTGGAATATCGTATGGGATTTGGCGTCGACACACGGGAGCCGGGTCGCGCGACAGCACTATGCCGTACACATTGGGTTCCCGGGAAAGCTACAGCCGGAGATGATTGCCACGTTTAAGGAGATCAGCCGGCTATGGCATCAGTTTTTGGGAGGGGAGGCAGTTGGGGACGGCAAGCGGAGACGGGCAGGCGAAGTGGTAGAGCCCGGGACAGTAGTAGGGTTAGGGTTGAACAGCCCAAAGCGGACCCGGGGCCAGATGGTGTTGGAGACGGCGGAGGAGGCACTGGCGGCCGGCTTATGCAAGCTGCTCGGGCCCGGAGCGAGATGGCGCAGCAGCAAGCAGGCCGAGAGCATGCGGGCGATTATGGCATTACAAGGCAACCAGTCACTCATCAGCGTGCTACCAACAGGGGCGGGCAAGAGCATACTGTTTATGCTGCCAGCAGTCATGCCGAATATGGGAACGAATATTGTAGTGGTTCCGTTTGTAGCGCTGATGGAGGATTTGGTCACGCGCGCAGTGGGCATGGGAGTCGACTGCATCCGTTTCCGATCGTCGCTGCACGCCGGACGAGAAGGGTTACCACGGGCAGCCCGGTTGGTTGTTGTCAGCGCAGATAGCGTCACTACTGGGGAGTTCTCAGCTTATGCTGACGGGCTTTTATGTGCTGGCTTGCTTCAACGGATATTCATTGACGAGTGCCATACCGTCGTTACGGATATCGGGTACCGAGCGCGGCTGGGAGAGCTCCGGAGCTTGCATCGCTACCGCTGCCCGCTGATACTATTGACGGCGACGATGCCGGAGGTGCTCGAGGACTGGTTCCGGGAGCAGATGTTAGTGGAGGCAGCACGGACGGTGCGGGACCGGACGACGAAGGTCAATTGTCGGTACCGGGTGGAGCAGGTGAAGGCCGGGAACGGGGCGGTGGAGCGGCAGGTTGCGGAGACAGCAAAGCGTCTGGAGGCAAAGATGTCCGGGCAGCAGAAGGGGGTAATATACTGCCGATCGAAGCGCCAGTGTGTCGCCATAGCTGCCGAAGTCGGCTGCCACTTCGACCACAGCGGTATGGGCGAGATGGAACGTCAGGGGGTGCGGGCAGCGTGGGCCGGGGGACGGGGACACCGATGGATTACGGCAACAACGGGCTTAGGGACCGGGGTTGATATCGAGGGAATTGTGGGCGTTATCCATGCGGAACAACCGTACGGGCTTGTGGACTTTGTGCAGCAGACAGGGCGAGGGGGACGGCGAGCAGGCGAGGTGGTCGAGTCCATTATTGTGCACGACGGACGGCCGAGGCGGCCAGATGCGCACGGCAGTCTTGTGGATAAGCGTAACCAGGCGGAGATGGAAGCGTTCATATGGGCTCCAGGATGTCGGCGGACTGTCATCAGTGCATTTATGGATGGGGTTGACGGCGAATCGTGCAAGGACATAGCGGGTGCGGAGCTTTGTGATCGATGCGAGGAGCAAGGGTGGTCAACCGCTATCGGCAGCAGGAGCGACAGGGCAGGCGAGGGCATAGCCACACCGAGGGAGCGATGGAGCGAGTTCGGAAAAGAGGAAGGGCAACGGATCCAGATGCTATTCCGTTGGCTGGATGAGGTTGCGGACGAGTGTCCAGTATGTCATGTCCGGCGACATTATCGAAGAGCCGAGACTGGCGAGCTTTTGGACCAGCCACGGCACAGACGCAGGGGGGAGTGGTGCAGCAAGGTTTCCGGTAAGAGCTATGATGCGGTGCGGAAGAAGATCACGTTTGGGCAGCTATCATGCTGCTTCACGTGTCAACTCCCGCTTGACTGGTGCAAAGAGACGAGGGAAGGCGAGGCAGGGGGGGAGGGGCATTGTGCATATATTGATAAGGTGTTGCCGGTGGCTTTCATGGGGCTGCAGAGCTGGAGGGTTCAGCAACTGGCAAAGAGGGAGTTTGGCATTGATATAGGGGAGGAGGATGAATTCTTTATGTGGCTAGGGGCACGGCGGCAGTTTCACGGGCTCAATGGGACGAATATGCATTCGTTATGGGAGGCAATTATAGGGGAAGCATATAAGGGGGGTATATTCTAGTATATATAAAGAGAATTAAGGCGTATATAAAAATAGTTTTCTAGAAACTAAAAAGGTAAGAAATAGACTACTATTTTAAGTATAGTATAGGGAGTCTTAAGGATATAAATAAAGTTTTAAAAAGAGCAAGTAAAAAAAAGAAAGATATAAGGGGTTACTATTATAAAGTAGAGTTAAGTATAAGTTTTATATAAAGCTAGAAAGATTTTATAATAAAGATAGAGAGAGAGTAGTAATAGTAGTACTAGTATATTTAGTTTTAATTATAATATAAAACTACTAGCTATTAAAATATAATATAAAGTTTAATTGAAACTACTTTTATACTAAGAATGGATTTTAAAATAATAGAGTATTATTATAAAGTAGTTAAGGTTTATTATTTTACTAAACAGAATAATAAATAGAGTAAAAAAAGAGAAATTAAGGAATAACGTTGAAGTAAGTATAGAGTAAAAATAGAAGATAGAGTTCATAAATAAAAGATAGTAATAGAGTTAAGTAATAATATAAAGAAAAAGAAAGGGTTAAAAGATAGAATTTTACTATAGAAAAATGAATAAAGTATATAGAAAAGTAAAAGGAAAGAGGGAGTATATGAAAAAAGGTAGTAAAGTAAAGGAGTAAAAAGAGAATAGTTCATTACTATACTATTTTATACTAGAAATATAAAGGTATTATAATACTAGACTTTATTACTAATAGGGTTAGAGATAGGTAGTAAGTATATTAAAGGAGCTTAATTCAATAGTATAGTCATAGTAGGGAGAGTAAGAAGTATATATAATAGAAGTAAAAGGGTATAAGTAGTACTAAAGAGAAAGAAAATAAGTTTTATATAGAGTAAAAGTAAGCTTGAAATAGAGAAAGAAACAAATAGAATAAAGGGCTAAAGTTATAAAATAGAAAGAGTAAATATAAGTTAAAGTATAAAATATGAAGTAGAAATAATATAGAGAGAAGAGAAGAAGGTAAAAGAGTTAATAGTATTATAAAAAACAAAAAGGAGTTAAAAATTTAAAAAGGTAAGAAGTATAGAAAAGAAAACATAGATTTACGTATTTATAAAGAAGGAAATAAAGTAATAAAAATAGTATATAGTAGTATATAGTAGTATAATAGAGAAAAATAGAAAGAGTACGTTAAGATAGTAATAGAAAAGGGGTAAATATATATTTTAATAGCTAGACAATAAGTAAATAGCTATACTATAGAGTATTAAAGAATTTTTCTCATGGCTACTTACTATATTTATACTACTAATAAGAAGATTATTTTATAACTTATTATTACAAGAAATAGCTAGTAGAGATCAAACTAGGGTTTCTAATAAAGTACTATATAAGTAATAATGAAGTTGAATAGCTATTTAAGCATTTTTAAAACGAATAGTAAGACTGCTGTTTTAATAGAACTAAAACGATAAGTAAAAGGTTAATTCTACTAGTTTTTATACTATTAATATAAGTACTATATTTATATTTGTAAGAGTAGTTAAAAGATAGTTATTAAAGGAAGTATTTAAATATTATTAAGACGAGTAATATAACTAGTATTACAATATATTTTAAACTACTATTATATTATTATTTAGACTAGAAAGATAGGTGCTATAATGTTACTTTTAAAACCGGTATTACAACTGCAATTGAACTATTTTTAAGACTGCAATTAAAGTTGCTAAAACAACTATTATTTAATTAATTTTAGGACTACTATTAAAGCTTGTAATATAACTAGTATTTACATATCTGTAAGACTACTAAAGAGACTACTATTACAACTGCTAATTCATTATTTTTAAAACGACTAATAAAACTGCTAATATGACTACTATTAAGATGTAATTAAAGGTACTAATAAAACTACTATTTAAGTATTAAGACCGCTGATAAAACTGATATTGAAACCGCTATTTAACTGGTTTTAAAACTGCTAATAAAACTGCTATTTAATTATTTTGAAGACTACTATGAAAAGCGCTATAAAAATTACAATTGAATTATTTCAAAGACTACTGATATAACTGGTATTGAATTATTTATAAAACTGCTATAAAAACCACTATCTTACTATACTATTTTTAAGACTAATCTTACAACCGCTATTAAAGCTATCACTTTAAGATTTCTTAGACTACTACTATAATGACTATGAAGCGCATACTCTTAGACGTGAAGACGGTAACCCTAACTAAGAGGACTCTAATCCCTAAACCAAATATGGTTCGTTAAATGGTTATGATTGGCCGGAAAAATTCGTGCACGGGCCAGGTTCAACGCAGAAAAAGGTACAACACCAAAAAAATGGTTATGCCACAGTAAAA